AAAACGACCACCTATACACGCTTTTCTTAGCGTGGTGGGAGGACGTGCGTCCCGACGCTTGCGACGAAGCGGGTAATCACCAAATCCCCTCTTTGATGTTCGTATCGCCTTGGAAACCTCGCCTATACACGCTTTTCTTAGCGTGGTGGGATAGGAGCCCGGTGTAATGCGCACGACGAAGCAGGGATACCCATAAGTACCCGTTTGCGGGAAAATAACTGCTTTTCTTGCAAAAATATTTTCAAAAATACCCATACACGCTTTTCTTAGCGTGGTAGAGGATCAAAAATTACACGACCGCGGTGTCCTCGAAAGAAGGCACCTACCATACAAGCTTTTCTTAGCGTGGTGGGAAAGGCCCAATTTTTTCGTAGTTTTCTCCTAAACGGGAGAGACGCCGGAAGGCTGCCGAAATTTCGGATGAACGCAATACTACATTTTGACTTAATTGAACTCGAAGGACGATCGAATTTGGACTCAGACTTGTGAACCTTTGAATTTGATAGAACAACAGTGGACTTGTGGAACCGGACTTGAACCAAATGTACCTAAATGAACTTAAAATTCAAATGAAATTGAAAGAAATAAGAACTTGGACCAAATGGACTTATAGATAAGCTTAAACTCAAATAAATTTAAATGTACAAAATTTGAACTTAAATTTGATTTGAAAGTCAAATGAGAAGAACAAAGAGCTAGAACTTGATTGAACTCAGAACGACAGAGGACTTGAAGCACATATACAGAACAGAACTTGAATCATGTTTGCAAGAAAGCTTGGTTTGAACCAAGTAAAGGAGATAAAGAACTTAACCTTGAATCAGCCTTGAACTATAAGGAGCTCAAATCAAAACTAGAACTTGGAATGAATAAAGACATGACTTGGACATTTGAGCTCAAAACAAAATTTGAGTTGGACTACGGAGGATTTAAATAAGACTTTGGACATAAAGAACTTTGATATGGAACTTTTGAATGATAATTTCTAATATGCAAATTGGGATAAAGATGTTGATAAGTGATGATATTAGACTTATCATACATATTGAATCATCAAAGTAAGAAGTTTGCAAATGAAGTTCGTTCATAAGCAATAAAAGAAGACTAAGGAATTTGGTTCAATTATAAACTCATGATATAAGCTTTTGGACCATACTAATTGATTCATAAGATCAGAGCTAGTTCACCCCTAATCTACTTGTAGTGAATGTATTGATTCACTAGAAAGGCTCTTGATGAATATGATGATTCATGGTTTGCTTGTAACCAATGCCAAAGTATTCATCTACGATCATGCACTAAGGATGTAACATGTTAGTGAGCAACATCAGAATAGCTATAATGAATAGAAATATTTATTATACTCAATGATTCAATCATCATTTGATTTGCAAGCAACCATCAACAAGGATTAAAGACACATGATGAGCTTGCATATTGAGCTTGGGGACTTGATAGAACTCCAATTTAAATAAATATAAAGTTCAAACTCAAACTAAATGTCAATTCCAAGTACAACTCGCTTGATGGTTGAGATGCAAGAACTATCAGGCGACATAACGACAAGAAGTGACAGTTCAGTGTCAAGCAAATGCAACGAACTCTTACAACAGCTCCTACAAAGTTAAATGCAATGTACTCACAAGGACAACGAATGGTTGCTTAATGTGTATGTCCCCCAAATACACCATTGAAACCTCCAATGCTAGCAATATTGCCTGTAGATTGAGAAGGCAGCATTACTACTTGATAGTAGAAGATCCGTCCTTGAAAGCAAGTACAATCGCCGATATGGTACTGGTGCAAATGACTTTCCTACGGGCATCTTTAAAAGATCATATCAAATATGATCCGTCTCTACAAAATACAATCAGTGGACCACCTGGGATTGGTGAAAGGTGGTTTCAATGCAAAAGCAAGGATTCTCCTACAAATACTCCTAGGAGCTCGTAGCTGATACAGCGTTCCCCTGCAAATGACTACAAGCCACTTGTAGGTAACAACAGTGAGAACCTCGTAAGCATAGCGAACCGCTGTGAGCACAAGTGTAGATATCACCTACGACAATGATGATCAAAGTGCTGTCAGTACACCAGGTACAAAGGTAACCCGATGTACGAAAGAGGACACCCTCTGGCAGAAAGAAAAAGATGTCCCAAAATCTCTTCTTAGTTCTATACTTGAGAAGAAAACAATTTTGGTATCCACAAACACCGAAAATAACAATTCTACTACACTAAAGAGCCTGAAAGTGACTCTTCGCAAGACAATGATCACGAATTTCAAGAAAGACCTTCCCCGGTGAATGAGAAAAGGGGGAGTCAATATCAAGACTACAATGCAACGCCACCGGATCCGCAACACTCGCATTAGCAGACAGAAGGCGTGTATAAGTTCTCAAATGAAATGTTGTGTACTCAAATGACAATTACTTGCACAACTACAAATATTTCAAAGTACCCCTACACGTGCACTATAAATTGTATACACATAGGTACACTAAAGAAAAAAAATACAATCTCAACCCGCAAGGGCCCCGGCGAGCGTGTTAGTGGTACACACGTAATGTCTAGGGATGCTGCGCGGGTTGACAAGTGAATTCAAGTTCGAAACCGATCCTTCTATACGGGTCGATAGAAGTCGACAGGGTTCGAACCAACAAATAAATATACGGTTGTGGCGACCGTTATATTTGTCTTAATACATTCATATTAGGCCTTCAAGGCCTATAACAATGAGAATTCACTATCAATGGCATAAAGCCTACAAAACCTGATCCTCTGTCGACAGCCCGACAGAGTTGACAAGGTTCAATCCATAAAGATAAATGACCCCGAACACCCCGATGATGGCCGTGTTGAATGCAGATCTCAACCGGAGGGGTTCCCAAACATTTTCAAATATCTCCCAAATATCCAAATGCCTCCCAAAAGTCCATTCCAAACATCCAAAAAAATCCCAAAAGTCCAAAAATATTTAAAATTGAAATAAATCTATCAAAAACTTAAAGCAAAATCCATCCACCCTCCGCAACAGTTTGCCAGGCGGACAAATTAAAGTTTACTTCAGCTCACAAAGAGCTAAATGCCTAGTCGAAAATATCACTAGGATCCATTCTCAAAACAATCTCTTGCTAGTAATGACGTGGTACGTGTCCTCTAACCGATAGTTTCGCCGCCAAATGGCACTGCAGGTAAACGGTTATGACCCGGGGCCCTCTAAACCGAGTGGTTTTGCTGCCAAATGGCACCACAGATAGCGGTTATGGCCAAAGCCAATACGCTCCTTAGTGGCGTTAAATCCTTGAGATATGAATCAATAGGATATGATCGATAGGGCACAAAGCCCTCTGTCAGCTAAGGTGGATTTAAATTTGTCCCCTTAGACAAACATTCAACCCCGGTCTACAAGGTTCCCTTGGACGAAGCAACCCATGGCTGCCGACAAGGATCCTTCTGTCAGGTTGGATCGACTACCTCCTCTGACTAAGTAGACTAGGGACCACGATGGCCCGGGACGACGGAACCATGGGATCTTGATCGGGTCTATCATCCATTCCCCCACCATCCGCTTTAAGTGCAAGATGGTGAAAATTTCTATTTTAAATATCAACTCCATCCAAAACCTTTAAATTCCCAAACATCCAAATCTTCAAATTTCCAAAATACCAATACTCATTGCTGCTACTATATGCCAGATAACACGTATATCTACGTATCTGATTGACAACTAGCCTTAATCGAAAGTTCTCTCTCATGATCGGGATGGGTAATTAACTATAAGGGCTTGTGCCTATAGGAAACCAGAACTCAGATTATAAAGTCCTCACAAAATGAGGGCGAAATCTCTGGGTACTGTCTTATTTACAAACTCATCTGCCTTCCAAAATTTACCCCGGAACCTATCAGTTAAAACTCCCTCGCCGAATAAAAAGAAAAAGCGACGGGGAGTCCGGGGCTGAATTTTCGGAGCCCACAGTTCAGTTACTTCAAATGGTCCAACAGACTTTTAACTCAACTTTCCTTTCTTTCCAAACCTGCTGATGCCTTTCATCAGTCTGATTTTCACATTTATGAAATCTCCAAACCACAATTTGTTGCTTAGCATTATAATATTATTTGTCTATCTTGAACAACTTTTAATCTGTCCCTAATCAGATGAACCTTTTTAGTAGCATCATCAACTAAAGCTAGTACAATTAGATCCCTTTCATCTACCTCTGCTCAAAGCAGTGGGATTCTACATTTCCTACAATACAGAGCTTCGTACTGAGCCATACCAATACTTAACTGAAAGCTATTATTGTAATCAAACTCGATTAGAGGGATATGATACTCTAAGCCAACGCTAAAGTACAGAACCCAATCTTAGAAGATCTCCTAATAATTGAATAGTCCTCTCAGACTGTCTGTCTTTTCATGGATAAAAAACCATACTAAAAAGCGATTTAGTGCTCAAACTTTGTTGAATACCTCTCCACAATTTGAAAGTGAACTTACGATCTCTGTCAGAAATGATCACCATTGATATCCCATGCAATTAGATAATTTCACGCACATATACCAGTGTCAATCTGTCCATTGAATCAGACTGTTGGATCAAAATAAAATGAATAGACTTCATCTATGGTCTACCATACAAGATGACATCATGCCTCTCTTAATCTGAAAAATCCCATAATGAAATTCATTGTTATTTCTCTCATTTTTACTTTGGAATAAACAATGACTGCAGAAAATCTCCTGACTACTGATGTTCATCCTTCACTAACTGACAACTTGCACATTTCGAAACAAAATTTGCCACATCATTCATTAATCCATGCCACAAGAATATACATTTCAAATTGATTTAGATTTTACTACTTCCTCCATGAATAATATATCCTGGATAATGAGCTTCGTGCAAAATAATTGATCTCAAATCTCTAGAGCTAGAAATCCATAATCTATTCCTACAGAAAAAAAATAATAGAATAAGATACTTACAGTTCAAATTTCTTACAAGACTTAATCTAATTAATCAATTTCAAATATTTTGTATATAATTTCTGGGCTTATTGGATTCTTTCTTGTAGATACAGTTGAATGATCATTGAAGCTAGAATATCAAAATCCTATTCCATATGAGAAATCACTTCCAACTCTAACTTCTCTATATCTCAGATTAGAAAATTATCTGAAGTAACATGTTTGATATCTTAGAAGACTTCTTGGTCAGAGCATCTGCTATCACAATGGCCTTACCAGATTGATACTGAATAATCAAATCATTATCTTTAATCAACTCAAGTCATCTTCTTTGCCTCAGATTCAAATTCTTTTGAGTAAATATAAATTTAGAATATTTAGAAGATGATGATGACTCAAAATTCGAGCATAATATAATTATTACAAATGAGAGCTATTATTAATAATATGAAATTAAGAATGAGGCCTCTGTGGATTCTAATATTTATAGTGAATTTAAGTTTTAAATGAGTGTTTACTTTGAATTTCATTTCAAATTTCCATTTTATAATAACATTTAATATTGGGATTTATAGTTTATATCATCATAATGACGAATCAAATAAATATATTGATGTTTTATTTTATTTTTGTCATTTTTATGAATTATTTGTAAGTTCATGTGTTTTTTATTTTTCTGTTTTGCGGCTCACACCTCAATCCGCCTTGAGGCTTACGCCTAGCCTCGTTAAGGCAAAACGCCTTGATTCCCAATTTTGCCTTTTTAAACCTTGGTTTACAGTAATATCATTAGTTCGAGCTGAAAAAGATGATGGATGATATGAAGCATGGGTACTAGAAAGTAAAATTTCTTTGGGAAGAGCTCTTATAATCCTTTGCTCAACTTCATTGACTTTTTCTGCAATTCAGTCAATTGTGACGAATTTATTTTTGGGTAAATTATAATCCCATGACCTACAATCCTCAACAACTGAGCCTTTACTCGGCAATATGATTATTTATATATAGCAATTAATTGTATTTGAATGCAACATTACCACCACCTCCAAAAGATTTTCCTAATTTTGTAACATGATTCCACAAAGATTTGTTAACTTCAATGTTGGACTCTCATAAACCATCACCACTCCTAATTATACCGTCACCATAGCTCATTATCCTCAGAAAGAATCGAAAGATCAGCACAAATTACAGGCTCAAGTTATAACTCCAAATACAATGCTAAATCTAAATAGTCAATAGCTTCAGAGAAGAGTAAAACTAGATTTTTAACAACAATAATAAAAGCAAATATTATGAATCACAAAAAGATTTAAAAAATCCTTTCAAAATTCAGATAATAACAATCACTAAGTATGTTTCATTTATGATTATATGATCAAATTTAAGCGGCTCCAAAGATAGTAAAGCAACACTAATTTGTTACCTCATATTAATTTAAACAAATTTAAAGCTATATTTATCAGAAATTGTCCAGTAGTTCTAAGTTCTACCTAGAAAGGTACGAGCAATATGACTATTAGTGTAACTAAGTTTTGAGCTTTGATACTTATGAAACTATATAAATCAATAAATATGAGTATTGATCTCCCAAAAATGACTCAGTATGAGACAATCTTGATATATTCCACATTTAAACAAAAACTTTTGACAATAACTTGGTGGATAATATTGCTACATAATTCTTAAATTCTAAAATAAATAGCCAAACAACCGGACAACCTAAAGAAATTAGATTACAAAATAATTTTACAATCAAAATTTCATAAATTATAGTATAACTTAGAATTTAATAAACCTTAAATTCGGAACTGATGAGGACATCGACAGACGCTACCGACATGTTTATCGCCGGCGAAACCGCAGATCGACGGCCACGATTCAGCGCCTCTACTTCTGATTCCGATGTCATGATGTATTATTTAGTATTTTCAATTTTTCCATTTTTATGGAGTCGCTTTGTTACTTTGTTATTGTAGGCAATTTCCTATAACAACATTATGGAGAAGAGAATTTTCAATTTGAAGTTATAACGTCCCCAAAAAAAAATTTGGCAAAGGAAAAATATAGGCTACTACAACAAATCTCATCACCATCTTATAAAAAACTTTCCTGAAGTTTGAGGGATACTATTCTATCACTCATCAGGCTCGATGCATTCCTCCACTTAACCATCCAACTTGAATTCTGCTAATAATATCCACATCTATTTTACTTTCTACTCTTTTTAATGATTGGAAGTGCACTCTTTCTTGAAGTTAAATTTTAATGATTTAACTTTGAATAATACTTAAGATATATAAAATGTGCACTCTTTTTAATAATTGGATCATCCAAAGTCACAATCCCACCAAGTCTATTACTACTAAAAATTAAACTATTTTAAATCTACTCAAACGAAAATCTTTAGATTCTAAGGTTGACCTTCATAATTTAAGTTTTCCTTCTACTCTCTCTCTAGTCTTAACAACAAGAAGAATATCATAAACAAAAAACATACACATGTAAATGTCTAATAAAAATATACATGAATAAAACAAAAAAGATATGGGCTTAAAGATGACCATTGTTGTAATCCAATTGAAATAGGAAGATATTTTGGTCAAACCACCTTGTGTTTGAACACAAGTAACAACTCTTGCATATATATCTTTAATAACTTTAATATAAGCATTATTAACTCCTTATTTTTCTAAAAATCTTCAAAGCACTTCTCTTGAATCTTTATCATATGCTTTTTTTCTAAATTAATAAATATCATATGTAAATCCTCATCACTCACTCTATGCATCTCCATCAAACCTCTCAACAAATAAGCATACTTTTAAGCAAAAAATAATGAATAATAAAAAATATACTTAAATTATGACTCATTATTTAATATCAACTATAGTATGTATTATTTTATATATATCCTCTTCCATAAGATCATGATGATGTAATAATAGATTTGTGAGGTATTGTAGTTATTCTAAAGTTGTATCTTTTTTACCAGTGTAAGCAAAATATTTAGATTTTATTTGGGATGATTTTTTTTTTGATTTTTTAAAATAGAATTTTAATTAAAAAATTAAATTTTTGTATCAAAACTCTATTTTAAGAAGCAATAAAAAGCTGTCTCAAACGAAATCTTAAATTCTCATTATTTATATTTTTATAGTTTTAGTATGATTGCATAATAGATTGTTAAAGATCTCCTTACAAAATGATTCAACACCCATACAATATCATGTTAAAGATACTTAGTGTGATCTCAATTTGATCGAGGCTTGACTCAATTCTAGCTTGATTTTGATCATGGTTCGACTCATGGCCACCTCCTTAAATTTGATCTTCCAACAACTAATTAGATATTAAAGCACATATCCATGAATATGATAGATATTATACTTTGATTTTGAGCCAAATTCATTCTTGTTATCTGTATGATATCCTTGACAAGGTGAATGGGAATGTTTTGCAAACAGATTAACATTTATGATAATTTTTATATAAATAACACTTATTTCAACAAAATGATAAAATATAAAAAAATAATAAAAATCCATTGAGATAACAAAAAGATGAGATTTCTAAATATTTTCAATAACTCTATTGTAAAAACTTTACAATCTAATATATTTTAATCATATTTTAATGATAATTTTTTAAATGAACCAACTAATAAGCTAACAAGTAGAGTCAAAATTTACTAAGATTGATTCATTAGCTCTTCAAGGTCCTCTCTAGCCATTTTTTTAAACTAAACCCCTGCTGCCTCACAATTTGGCTTGCCATAACAACACCACTATGTTTACTATAATTTTTTAAGCCCTATAAATTTTCTAAACTTACAAAAAAAAAAAAAAAAAAAAGGGAATGATTTTATTTTCATATTAAAATAAATAAAAATAAAATACTTAGTTAAACATTCAAGTTGTGTTCTAGTTAAGATAATAAGGACTCCAAGGTTTAGAAACAGCTGTAGTAGACAGATTGAAGTTATAGCCTTCAGAAGGACACTTTATCCCATCGGACTTAGTTGGGTTGATGGGCAAGCATGGGTTGTAACCCCTCAACCCACTTTTGATTCCTCTCTCAAGCATCGCGACTCCTTGAGTAGGGAGAACATAATTGCATGGTCCGACTCCTGTCGGCCTGATTGTCCCTAGGCCCGCCGAGGAATTAGTTACTCCACCAAGCGCCTCCTCAACGGGAATGACAGCGGATAGATACCCTCATTCAAAAAAAAAAAAAAAAAGGGACATTTTATTTTTCTGAATAAATACATTATAACTAAATGTTCAGCAGTCACATGTACTACTAATCAAATGCAGCAGAACAAATAGAGCATGAACACCATGATCACCACCAGACAAGAGAACCAATTCAAGAAACCCTCACTTTTACAAAATATTCTTTTGCATCTTTCAGAGCTTTCTGATGTTTTCAAGTTCACATGAAACTTCTTTGTAGATGGCTTAGAACTAAGCTATGGTGCAAAATCCTGGAAAGGATAACTCTTGCTGTTATTAGGTAAGAGTTGCCAGTTATTGGAAGAAGGAAGCTTAAAAGAATCATGGACATGCATACAGTAGGAGAACTGGAGAAATACCTTAACAGGAGGACCACTATATTTACCAGAGCGCATGTAAAGATCATCAGGGGCGTCTATAGCCTCAAGCCAAGAATAGTCCTCTTCCCTCTCATCCATCTCAAGTTCTTTTACAGTTGCTGAAACCAAACACTTCTGTTAGATATCAAATATGTCAAATACCTTAAAAGGCCAAATAGAAAGGATGTAATTTGCTTAAAAAGAACAAGGGCATTAATCTCTAGCTCATAAATATAATAAAAAAAGAAAAGTATGACTACTTTATCAAATAAAATAGCAGCGGATGGTTTAGTATAATTGAGAAGTTTGTCAAGGAGAGATTATTCTGTGCGGACACCGGACAGGAGAACCGTACGGTTTATGCTTAGGTACCGAGCGGTACTGTCAAGCCTCAGTACTGCTCGGAACTAAGCTCAGTACCAGATGTGGAGCATTTTCATTAGAGTCTGAACTCCGCACAGAATAATTTTTCCCTAAATAGAGAAGTTCTCTAAGGAAGTATGGTTAATAGACACTGAAAACGCTTACATACAGAAGGTTGAGTATGGATAATCATGATAATAAGTACAACGTCTGCCAGCAACCTCTGAATATGGTGGAGCCAGAACGTCAAGCACTGCAACGGAAGTGATTGCAGTGAAACAGTGCAAGTTTCCCCCAGTTTTTGGATACAAAACCCTGGTAGGACATGGCGCAGTCAAGACCGCGTCAGCCTGATACTTGGCCAACTTCACTGTCAAAGGTCGGCAAAAGGTTAAAGCACCAAATAAATACAGGAAGAGAAAACTCGCAAATAAATAGATACATACGAGCATTTACATCTAAGTTGGAAGATTACATGAGGATCGTCATATTAAAGCGTTCTTCATACCAAAGTGCGAGGGAAATAAACAGGAAATCCCAAAACGCAGAAATTATGACATGTTTTAAAGTCATGTAAACATCATTTTCAAACAGTTGAATTGCTTGCGTCAGGTTAGTAGCTTCCGGGATCATGCACTTCAAAAAAGATTTAAACGCAATAGATAAAGAGATCCTGTCAGCAAAATGAATGTTATCAATGTCTAACAGTTACAATGTGGAATTTGAAAAAAATCAACTAATATTTTTGTTATGTGTTGGAAAATTCATGATGATGGAGATAATTTAAAATTTTAGAGTTGTACAAAAATCTCGTATGCTTAAAGTTGAGAGCAATACATGAATGAATTAAATTTTCAAATAAACATCTTGGGAAAGGATAAACATAGGGCCAAGCCAAGTTAAAAATAATTCAACTAAAATGAGTCAAAGATTACAAAGGGTGTTATTCAAAGCATAGTTTAAAATTGCATAATAAGAGGCGCGCCTCTGCGCAATTTGCCCCCCAATAGCCTCATTGCTTAAGCAATTTTGGGACTTAGTGAGGTTTACGCCTCATGGAACCTGAGGCGTGCCTCAGAGGCACAATTGTGCAATTTTTGGTGAGGCGTATACCTCATGAAACATACTGTATATGCTGGTGTCGAGGGCTCAAACAGGGGAGACAGATAATGACATGTTCATTCTCATGCCTATAAGATCACGACAAGAAAAATATAATTTGAGGGTTAGACCAGGTGAAGAAGAAGGTTGTACGCTCCTAAATACAGCTCATTGCATGAATCGTCAGTTATTATGAGATTTAAGAAGACATTGATGCATGCAATTTCACATCAAAGTCACAATACAAGCAATCTAACCACTGTTTTGGGCTCGCAATGGGGGGGGGGGTGTGGGGGGGGGGGGGGGGGGGGGGGGGGGCAATTTCCCAAAACAAAAATCGAAATAAATTTGCAAGCATATTTTCATAGAGTATATTGATTTTTCATAATAAATATAAACAGCAAAGTGATTAATTGAATCTGTATATAAAATCAGCTCAAGCAAAGTTAAAGTTAGGCCCCCCTTTAATAAATATTTCTTGCTTCGCCATTGGAGAAAGTGCTATGCTTATTAATTTAAAGGTCTGATTAGAATAAAAATATTTTTTTCTTATTTGTACATTGGGAGTTCTGATGGACTTTAATTTGTAGTTTTATATTTTGAATTATGCTATGAGATACATATATTGCATCTTTTTTTTTTTTTTTTTCCACTAATTTCACTTCTCTTTTAGATATTTTTATTATATCATAGACTCTTATTGTTATTTATCAGCTAAAATATTTAAATTCTCATTTACTCAATTCTTCATCCGTGAGGTTAACGCCTCGAGGCTTATTTACGCAATTTTAAACCTTGATTCAAAGTAATAGAAGAAGAGAGCGTGAAGATCATGATTGATGGAATAAATCATTATCAGTTGTCAAATGAATATGAGAGAGGAATGTTGAAAGTTGGGTGATCTCCTTGGTCATTGAAGGTAAGAAGAGGGACATCAAATGTCAAACATCAATTGTCAGCAAATGTTGGGTAATAACTGGCATAGTCAAAATTTGAGTGATGTGGGGTGGCAAATAGAATATTCTTGTGATATAAGGGATAAGACTAAGTGACTAAGAAGATGCCACCATCAAACACGATAAGATCCGCAGGCGAAATACGTCCTATCATATTGGCTTGAAACATACCAACCCAAGTTGGAGTTTCAGGAAACTTTTCAGATTTTTTTTCCAATATAACATAAAAAACAAATAATATATCACAAAGCAGTCAATCACTGCAATTATAATATAAGAAATATTAGGAAAATAGACACTTATGATTCCCAATGCCCAACATTAGAATGGAATATGTATATAATACTAATACAGAACTTCATATGCCTTTAGTACTAGAACAGAACTTCATGTGTCTTTAACATTGTACACAAAGCAAAGAAGCAATATACATGTCAGCAGTCAAATCATAACAATAGCATTCACATGATCATAAGGCAATATAATAGGGAAATTGATAAATCAATACATATGTCAAATCGGTAAAAAAATTATTGTATCAATACTACAATCAGCAGAGAAATCATATAAAACATCAAATCAAAACATCGATAAAGACTGTCAAAACTATGTAAATGTAGTAAAATCATATAAAAATAACTGTATCCATGTATCACATGATTAGAAATATCATATCAATGTCAATTCAGTATCAGTGTTTAGTGCACATGCTAAATATATATCACGTGATCAACATATTAAGAATAATAGATATACTTAATATTATCCCACAAAAATAATCATTTAATGTCTTCTTTTTTACATACCCTATCTTCTCAATATCATCATCTCGATAACAAGATTACTTCCCACTTATCATCATAGACTGAAAGACATTTTTTATTTGTTTGAATCTTCTCAATATTACTATAAATGAGACAAAATGAGTTACAAATACTATAAGAATTCTTAAATATGAGAAGTCATTAAATATAGAGACTCTCAAAGAGTGATTCATTATGAAATATTTTATTAAAATTGCATCTTTTGCAATCAGTATGATCCAATGACATTTATTATAAATGATTTTATTTGTCTCAATATTCTTAGCTGCACAAATATTCTTTAAAGCAAGACTGCGAGTATACATAATGCATAGTGTCCAAAAATGTGAGGATATGCTTGCTCTACAAATAGGCCTGTAGCTCTGCAAACTGGTGCATCATCAGGAATGACCTGAATGATATTTGAAGGCCCAATCATCATGATTACTTCTCTGATCAAATTAAAAATGAAGAATTTACCTTTATGCTATCATTCACAATTGACAGCTTTAACGAATATAGAATGGTTCTCTATTACAGGCATAAAGTTAATAAGTGGTCTTTTTTGTGGATCAGTCCACCCATCGTAAACCAAACTAACTCTTTTTTCCTTCCAAACTCCTTTAATTGGTTCAAGCAACTTCTTAATATTTGTCCTCTCCCTTTGCAATAACTTTATTTTAATGGTATTGTATCCTTGTGGCATGTAACCTGCAAGATTGTTATTGCAACCAAAAGTAAACGCAATCTTATAATGATGATTCCTTATAAGAATGAAAGGAATGTCAGCTGAATGAAACATCATTGTTATTTCTCTATCTTGTTGCTATCTCATTTGTAAATTAAATCTTTTCTCCAAAAAATTATCTACAAAAACTTTTCTTTTTTTTAGGTTCATATCTATCAATCCTAAATGATCCTTTGTTTGCATCATGGTTTAAAAAATCATTCGAGAATCACGTCTCGAGGCTTAAGCCTCATTAATGCCAATGAGGCTTATAACTTTTTTTAAATGAGGCGCACGCCTCAAGAATGTCTTGAGGCATTTTGAGGGATCACTTCATTATAGGTAAGCTTTATATTTTTTTTATTATATATTGTTATTAATAATATATATACTTTATTCTATTATACAAAGAGAAGAAACCAATTAACTATAAGAAGAGTGAATAAGGTTGAATGGTTGTGTTATATTTAATAAAATTTTGAAAGATAAACACTTCAAATTATAGAGAAGAATAACTGATGATGATGAAATAAATCTTTTGGTTGTTAATGATATATTTTCTAATGATGAATGGATAATAACAAAAAATAGTAAAATATTTAAAATTAAAAATGGAGGAATGCATTTGATAATGAGAAGAATGAGAATATCAATATTAATATTAAAATAATTATTGAATTCATAATAACTTCTACTTCACAAGCAATTTAAACAAATCAAAGTGGAGTTCAAACTTTAAAAAATATTAAATGGTGATTTAAATATAATGGATTACTTTATTGTGTTATTAATATGTTATTTTATTTTGTATTACATTGAATACATTGTTAATTAATATGAAAGTTTAAAGAAAATATTATAATAGAAGAATATGTAGAAGATTATAATGAGTCAGATTCGAGGATAATATAATTATTACATATGAAAGCTATTATGAATAATATGAAACTAAGAATGAGGCCGTCGTGGATTCTAATTTTTATGGTATATTTAAGTTTTAAATGAGTATTTACTTTGAATTTCATTTCATAATTTTATTTTATAATAACATTTAATATTGATACTTTGTACTTTATATCTTTATAACGACGAATCAAAAAAATATGTTGATATTGTTTTTGCATTTTTATGAATTATTTGTAAGTTCATGTGTTTTTTATTTTTTTTGTTGTGGCTTACGCCTCAATCCACCTCGCCTCGCTAAGGCAAAATACCTTGATTCCTAATTTCACCTTTTTAAACCTTAGTTTATAGTAATATCATCAGTTCAAGCTGAAAAAGATGACGAAGGATATGAAGCATGGGCACCTGGAAGTAAAATCTCTTTAAAAAGAGATCTTATAATCCTTTGCTTAGCTTCATTGACTTTTTTGGCAATTCAGTCAATTGCGACGAACTTATTTTGGGGAAAATTATAATACCATGGCCTACAATCATCAACAAATGAGCTTTAACTCTGTAGTCCGACCTTTTATATGTAGCACTACAGTAATTGTATTTGAATGGAACATTACCACCACCTCTAAAAGATTTTCCTAATTTTGTAACATGATTCCACAAAGATTTTTTATCTTTAATGTTGGGCAGTGATGAACCATCATTATCCCGAATTATACCGTCACTAGAGCTCATTATCCTAAGAAAGAGTCGAAAGATCAACACAAATTATAGGCTCAAGTTAGAACTCCAAATATAATACTAAATCCAATAGTCAATAGCTTCAGAGAAGCGTAAATCTAGATTTTTAACAATAATAATATAAGCAAATATTATGAATCACAAAAAGAATTCAAAAATCCTTTCAAAATTCAGAGAACGACAATCACTAAGCATGCAAACTTTATTTATGATTATATGATCAAATTTAAGCAACTCCAAAGATAGCAAAGCAACACTAATTTGTTACCTCATATTAATTTAAGCAAATTTAAAGCCATATTTATGAGAAATTGTCTAGTTGTTCTAAAGAAGTTCTACCTAGAAAGGTACGAGCAATGACTATTATGTAACTAAGTTGTGAGCTTTAATACTTATGACAAATATATCAATCAATAAATATGAGTATTGATCTCCCAAAAATGACTCAGTATGATTTGTCACAATCTTTGATATATCCCACATCTAAACAAAAACTTTTGACAATAACTTGGTGGATAATATTGCTACGTAAATAAAATAAATAGCCAAACAACCGAACAAACTAAAGAAATTAGAAAACCAACTAATTAAAAAAATAATTCCTAAAATTTAGCATAACTTAGAATTTAACAAACCTTAAATTCAGAACAACTTAAATCCTATGCTCAATCAAAGAAGTTATTAATCAAACTGATTCAAAAATCTATTGACGTCTAATTTTTAACTGATTCAAATTCCTTAGCGTCATCGTCGATCAATAAAGAAGAATAAACATTGAAACTTGCAGAAACCTAAATGCTTATGAGATATGCGAGAATTGAAAAGAAAAGTTGTTTGTTAGGGTGGGAAAAAACACAACAAAATATAATCTAGTCACCATCCGCGAGATAAAAAAATCATTATGAAGAAAAAATAAGAAAATTTTTGTATCATGATATCCTAGCTCAAATAACACTTACTAGCTGCAATCGATGTACCGCACTCGTGTGCCCTCGTCCACCTGCGAAAATGAAGAAGACGATGAGCGCCAACCTTCAATCGTTCGTTCACCTCATCTGCCTTTGGAAATAAACAAGACGACAAAGAAGCAAGCTCCTTCGACCTTGCCTGCTCGCATATTAGGCTCCTTCGACGAAGATGAAGAAGACGACGAAGACGTAGAAGACGAAGAATATGCATGCTCCTTTGGCCTTCCTTGCAGGTGTATTACCCTCATTTGGCCTTGCCTGCTCACATAAATGAAGAATACACAAAACCCTAGCCTCGCCTGCTCGTGGAAATGAGAATACTTGGAATACGAAGTGATACTGGCACTACCATATCTCTAAGGCTCATTTTATTTAATGAATTTTTTTTCATTAATTATTAGGACATACATGTCCGACACGAATGTCTGTTTAAATTTAAATATTATATTAACACAAGACATTTATGCCATGTCGAACCCATGTTGCCATATCAAGCGCATGTCCATGCCCGACATGTATCTGATAATGCATATCTTCATAAATAAGTAAGTCGATACATCATAGTTGTAAATTTAAGTGAAATTAAGTTTCATAGTTATATCATTAAATTTATTTTTTATATGTTGTTATCATGCCTAATTATATCGAGCAAGGATAATTAATTTTCCTTACGATTTTTTTTTCATGAAATATATATGGTATCTTACTAATATACCCTTTTCCTATGCAAAAAATTTTAGAGTTTTGTTGAAGTTTATTTAATGTATTTAGAAATCCATGTAATAATTAATGTTAAAAATAAATTTCTATTATAATTAATGAATTTGGGCTTAGTTCATATTTTATTGAATTCATTTAATTTTTTTTAATATAATTTCATATATTACACGGCATATTCTCAATTAGAAATGAATTTATTATAAATTTTGAAAAAATTAATTAGTTCTGTTTCATTTAGTTTGCCACTTAAACGACTAGTTGAATTAGCCATTGGAGTTTCTTTTTGTGCTTTGTGCCAGCCGTTGGAAACTTGATTTGAGATCTGTTGAGGACATTTCTAATATATTTTAATAAATAAATTAAGAGATTTTAAATAAATATATGATTTTGAGTCTATACATACTTCACCTAAAGCAAAAAAATTATTGAAGAAGTGAAAATAAGTGCTTTCATTATAAAATCTTCTAAGGGATTTCAAGAGAGGTTTATAAAGTGTTCATCAAATCATCCATTCATGCGAGGTTTCAAAATTTGGTAACATCTCTTTCAATTTTCAAGTTTAAATATAATGAGCTTTTCATTTATTAGCTTTCTCATGTTACTAGATATTATTTTGAAATTGTAGGAAATAGCAGCTAGATATCCACCAAAGTTCAACAGAACTTTGGTTTTTTTATTTTTTTTCTTATTTTAAGCTCTGGGTAGCCTAAACCTATTAAGCTTAGACATTTAAGTTGCACTTGTTCAGAAGGAGACAGTGATATAAAGCTTCTACATCATAAAAAAAAAAAGGGAAACCTAATTGAGCGAAGGGAACTAGATAAACTATAGGCCTTGAGGTTAACTGAATCACATAAATATTCTTATTTTATCTTTTAATACTCTTTACTTGCATTTTTATTTCATTGTATATTTATTTACTTGCAAGTAGCTACTTTGATTGCTTATGGATTAAATTGTTGAAGTGGTAGATGCAATACTTTTTTCTTGTACTAGTGCATGGATAAATTCATTTTACTTGTGGCCATAAACTATTATAATCACACGTTTAGCATAGTTTATCTTTTGCTTCACCATACATATCTTTGTGATTAGATTTATGTTTGTACAATTGTCTATCTTAAGGTATTAATAAATCATTAGTCTACAGTCTACACCATAAATTTACTTGTCTGGTGCATTTTTGCAGAATTGAACTAATTAACTAATGTGTGTAACCTAATATAGTTGAGTGTAAAATCTTAATGATAATGGTTGAAATGAATACACCTGTGAATTAATTTATTCACATCAGGGGGATCATTTCTCCTTTATTTGCAGTTTTATATACAATGCTTATGCATTCGACTTAGTTTTTTATCATATTATTAGCTTTCACTTAGTGTTTTCATTTTCATACATTTAGTTTTCATTACTATATTGGTGTGAGGATTTTGAATTTATGAATTTCGAATGAATTCAAAGTGCTCCATTATACACCCAATTCATCTCCCATTTGGTGTGCCCTTGAACATTAATGAACATTAGAGTCAGGTACACCCCTTCCCCTCTCTCTATTCTCTATATTTGCTTGTGCATGCAGTTGTGGTATGCCAAATCTCCCTCATCCTCTCTCTTCTCTCTATTTAATTGCAATTGTAGGATTCCTAACCCCTTATTCTATGGCTTTATTTATATTAATAAAAAGAAATGATGTTGAAAACGTTGAACTAATTACAAGAGTCCACAATATTTTATTCAATCTTTAAAGTCAACTAAATATCTCATAGCACAAAAGAATATCTTAGCAAATCACAATTCAAAGTTTACGATAAATAGATCTCAATTATATCTTGTAGCGATTTGATATGGAGGAAACTTTGACTTGATAACTTTAACATTTAAATAGTTTAAATCTAAAGTAAATGTCTAAGAACTTCTTAGTGGAATTCAAAATTTCCTTTTAATAGCAGCATATATATAACACAACATGAAAAAATCAACTAATGTACGCTTAAAAGCATAAAGAATTAAAAGCCAGCTCAAATATAATAGATGCACAGAGAACTGCACTTCTGTATTAATGCAATACCATGAGACAAAGAAGCAGACCTGAAATTTTGCTTGGCTTCCCACTATTCGTTATGCAAGAAGGCTCTACCCAATCATACGCTTTCACATGCATGGAACCATAAAGAATTTTACTTAAGACGGTCATTCCCGGATGATCATGAAGTGGAATCACAGAAGCAGTTGGAAGGCAAAATATGCCAATCTGCAAAATTGAATAAAAGTATGGGCCATTACAATTAAACTTTGACAAATTTGGTCAAAGATTGTTCTTTAAATTATGAATAAGCATGCTCATGGACTTTAGCAGGAGCATGGGCGAAGTTACGCCCTAAAGACAAAGGGTAGTACACCACGTAAGTCCTCATGAATTTACTTAATAAAAAATGAATGCAAGATTGTAACAATCACTAACGCCAATGCTACTAAATTCAAAGGAACCTTTTAGTTTAAATACTCCAAACATCTCATATGGTCAGAATCATAGACTCAATAAGAGGTCATTTGATAGGCCAAATTAATAATGCATGCATAATAAATCCCTACAAAATAAATGCAACCGATTTAATTTTAACAGAAATTACTTTGCCATAACGTTTTGAAAAAAATAAACTAGGAAGTAGATTTTATTTCACACCAAAAGCAAGAAAAAAATTATTTTGCATGCAAATATTAACGTTTTACAACAAATGCTCGCCCAACCACATAGTTCAAACAAGCCATTCATTCCCATTTTTTCTATTTTGTCACTTCATATCATTCATCAACATTATTTTAAAATGCTGTATCAAAAAAGGTTATGTCAAAGTAGATGCACCAAAATTCATAGCATGGATTCTACACTCGAGCTGTACAATGTCTTAATAAACTCTCAATAAGTAATATTAGAAACTTCTTTGAGTTTTTCTTTTTATCTTCTAAAATAAAGTTTTCTAGTGCTGGAATTAGAAGAAAAAACACATCTGCAAAGCACGTACAAAACTTTCATGAACAATAAACATTTGGGTGTACTTACAGTAAAACTATCGCATTCATATATATGCAAGTATGTTATTGGTTGAGCCCATTGAGCAGCCCTAGTTAAACTCTTGAATGGATTGGATTCAAAAAAGCCATGTCCTCTATCATCATCAAGAGCATCTTCTTTAAGTCCTACATCTGCCGGACTTATTGAATCTGAATAAGAATGGGACACCTTATCAGTTATCATAAAAATCAAACGAATTGAGCACAGAAATTACGAAGAACAATCACATTAAGTGTGTATGAGTAAGCAATCAAGTGATGACCTTAATATTTACAACAACAAAACCGTAGTGCAAGGCATTAATTTCATAGGACGGGAAGTACAGAAACAGAATATATGCCTCACGAATTGTTATATTTTGAAATATTTTGTAATTTTTCAAATAAAAAAGAACAATAATAAAGTTCTCAATTTTTAATTAAATACTAACAGATTTTCTTAAAAATTGAAGATAATTTTTTCATGAAAAATAAAGCACATTATATATGTATATGAAGATCTTTGATAGTCAGAAAAGAGAGCGGGCTTGATGGGATGGGCAGTAAAAAGGACTTATGAGACAAGAAGGGCTGCTCTTCGCCATGCAATAGAGAAGATTAGGAGCCAGTGCAGAAGAGTTTTAATTTATGAGTCAAAATAGATTATTCACAGCAAATGCTCAGTGAAGTTGCAATTATTTAGCTAAAAGCAAGGGTGGGTGCAACGTAAGAGAAGATCAAATCAGTACATAACATCATCATCATGACAATAATAATAATAATAATAAACTACTACAAGGCCGCAGGATGAACATAAGTTGACATCAATCATTACAGGTTACCACACCAAAGCAATTTGGTTTCACTTTCAAATTCATAAATAAATGCAGGAACAGTTTTATTTATTACTTTCAAAATAATTTTGAATACAAATGAAATAACTTTTCTGTTACAAGGCGTCACAAAATCCCGCTCTGGCACAAGCGTCTCTAAGAGCTACAAAGAGTAGTCTCCAAATAAGAGACTAAGCAACTAGAAGCAGACCGGAAGGAGAAGCTAGTTGGGAAGACAACAACCATTGGCACTTGTCACCAAATCTCCTAGGCAAGTAAGGCAGCTTCCAAAAGAAATAAACACAAAAAGGGGAAAAGGATCATGGGCAAAGAAGATGGAGTATTAAATGAGTTGCAGCTGAGTAGCCAAGTCACTGAAGAGAAACGAAAGAATAGGAGGAAAAACAAGAAGCCAAAGGTTGTCAATGCTCCAATTGTGCATGAGAGAATATCGGAACTACTAAGAAGAAGAGAAGTATAAACAAAGGCTACAAACGACTAGCAAAGTTGGTTGATGGAGGCACAAGGGGTCACAAGGAGGAATATGTGAAGTGGGTGAAGGAGATACACAAGAAATGAAAGGATAATCCAATATATGAGAAGATATCTATTCGAGTAACCAATATTAGTGTAAGGAAAAGAAGATATAAAGCCAGAGGAAAAGCACGAGATGTGAAAGGACAAGTTGGAATGGGGATCAAAAAACAAAAAAGAGAAAAGACCAGTGAAAAGAAGAAGATGGTAAACTCACGTGGATATCTCAACCATGGGCAACCAGACAACAAGGATTAGAGAATCAGCTAAAGTGTTACAAATAGTAACAGGCAACTCCCAAACCGGCTATCACCCAATGAATAAAACCATTTCTCCTTCATCACTAAAGGCAAATCCTTGTGACATTGGTTTCTTGACCTGCATGACACAAGAAAATAACACCTTCATAGATGATACGGAAAAATATTAAGATAAATTTTATTAATATCAGATATCAAACTATTATTTATAAAAGCAACTGCGTTTAAAGAGTCAATAACCATCACTCGATAAAATCTCAACTAAAAGGCATTATTCAAAGAAGAATCTCATTTTGGAACTATCAAAGCATGGGGCAAGTTGTGATTTAACTAATAGATAACTATGATTTATAGACCATAGAATTTATATGTCAGCTAATTTATTGTATTTAAGAAGAAATATATATCTAAGCCTTTGAAAAGACAAATTAGTACTGTAAAAGATGTCACCTAAACAAAAAGTCAAAAAGCAATACGGAGTCGGAGTCTGAAAAAGATGAATTGTTATCTCATTAAAAAAGCACCTTGAACGCTACCCAATTGCAATCAAGATCCAATGATTATGAACGAGCAAAAAAAAGGAATGAATATATGTGGGTTCTATCAAGTCAAAGATCTCATTTTTGAATACTCAGTTACTTTATCTACTGCCAACTCCAAGTAGAAGAATGAATTTGGACCAAACGCATTAAAAAAACTAAACCGTTAGATTGAAAATACACCAATGTAAAAAGGGAAGCATAGATTATCGAGTATCCATTGATCAAATGTCACAATGTGTCCGGCTTATGCTAAATGTCAAGAACTATCAAGTACCTAAATGATTGTCATCTAAAATTTATACAAATATCAAAATAAAAAAATGTAGAGAACTTAGTAATGGAGATTAACCAACATAAGTAGTTAGCATCAATGATGATGGAGATGAAATCATGTACAAAGAGCAACATCCTGCACATACTGGACTAGCTGAATTAAAAGTATTAAATAAATAATAAACTAGTCGTAGCACTGGACCCAAATCCAAAGTGAGCCTAAGGCGTTCATTAAAAATTCCACATTGTCAGGAAAGCATATGTGATGTGATTCTTCTTAGGACGAGCCTTTGGCCCTTAGGAGAGGTGAAGCCCTTGCACGGTAAAGTTTTTATCCCCTTAATGAAGTTTGAAGTTTCTTATCTATAAGGATCAAGTTTGAACAAGTACTAAAGCTCAGAAGATGCTAATCATGTTTATTATAAAGCACATATGGTCGAAAGCTCTCACCCAGCTTCCCTAGTCATTAACCAAGTGTCGACTAATCCTCTACTACCGTGCTAAAAAAAGCAGCTGAACCCAGGAAGTCAGACTCTCTCTTTGTGGCAAGATGCACATTGAGAGGAGAAAACAATTTTAAAGGCAAGGCTCAGAGATGGTAACCCCCATGATAACAAAGATTATGATCTTATACAACCTCTTAAAACATGACCAAACACGGTAATTAAAAGGCTAGAATCGGGGAAGGAGGGTTGCATATTTTTCTGGACTCCCTAATGACCTAGAGATAGAATTAAATATACCTCATTGTCATCTAATTGTTGTAGATGACATTTTCTTCTCAATTTTCTCTCTTTCTTAGTAGGTAGAATTAGAAGGTAGAAAGATCACAGGTCAAGGGATTCTATCCTTAAAACCTCCATTAGCTGGGTATTGGGGGTGAGGGTGACCAAGCTAGGGAACATAGTATAGATGTAAGGGATCTCAAAGAGATCAAAATCATCATATAGGAAAAAAAAAGTCCTATATTTGTTTAAATCTAGAAGAGACTAAAACATCAAATGAAAAAAAAAAAAGCTTTGTGTGAGAAATTGAACAAAAAAAACTTTGTTACTTCTACCAGTGAGTCATACCTCACAAGGATGAAAGAGCACTACAACTAAGAGGGAAAAGACCGTGAAGTTAAACATGTCTTTATCAGGTTAACCACCACCAACAACAACAACAACATCAAGCCTTTATCCCACTACGTGGGGTCGGCTACATGAATCCTTTTTCTCCATTGTGTCCTATTAAAACTTGGTTAGAAAATAAGAAGCTTTGTTATAAAAATTGGTTTAATTTTAAAAATTCTGATAATTGAGATATATATAAAGTGGTAGCGGCGTCTAGAGATTTGGGAGAGTTCGATCCTCCTCTCGAATTGAGGATCAATTGTATCTTTTCTATTTTCTTTGATTTCTAGTGAAATACAAGCGAAATCTTGTGTTTTTTCTCCCTTTTTTCCCTATTTCCTGCTGCGTTTTCCCTGTTTTTCTGCTGTTTTGCTTCTGTGGACAGCAGTTGGCTGCTGTAATTTTACTGGTTTGGGATAGGAATACTTGTGAACCCAAGTGTTTCCTATCAATTTTCTTCTCAATTTTCTCTCTTTCTTAGTAGGTAGAATTAGAAGGTAGAAAGATCACAGCTCAAGGGATTCTATCCTTAAAGCCTCCATTAGCTGGGTATTGGGGGTGAGGGTGACCAAGATAGGGAACATAATATAGATGTAAGGGATCTCAAAGAGATCAAAATCATCATATAGGAAAAAAAGTCCTATATTTGTTTAAATCTAGAAGAGACTAAAACATCAAATGAAAAAAAAAAAAAAAGCTTTGTGTGAGAAATTGAACAAAAAAAAACTTTGTTACTTCTACCAGTGAGTCATCCTTCACAAGGATGAAAGAGCACTACAACTAAGAGGGAAAAGACCGTGAAGTTAAACATGTCTTGATTAGGTTAACCCATAGATAAAATTAATGTTGTATATGTTTGGCAAAGGATGAGGACATGAGGTTATGAAGCTAGATGAAAATGAAGGATTTAAATGCATATTGGGGACAGTGTGAACTTTTACACTCAAACTCCTTTCATATAAAAAGGTTACTTGAATATAGAAGAACTAGCTGAGACCCTAATTAATACATTGTCTTCTACGACATCACAATAGTCCAAGGTTCATGACAGATCCACACAATTAAATATAAAAAGAAATATTATTTTTTATGATGATTTGATTGCACCATCAACATTGTTAATTATGGGTGGTAAAATCAAGAAAGATAGTGATCATTATAAAAATATTTATTGTGATCTATTCTCTTTCCAATGGTTGATGACCAAAATTTTAAGGAAATAAAGCAATAAAACGTCCTCCCCTATTTACAGTCTTCCATTAAGGCTCAAATACAAAGGATAAATTTTGGATGCTTTATATTCAAAAACCTCTTCAATTAAGCAAGGCTGCAATCAACTATGCAATCAAATCTACAGATTTTGGATCTTCCATTTTTTTCATAAAATTATGTAATAATATGTGTTTTAATGCTTATAAATTTAGAGTGAATTGTTTAAGAATATCATAACATATTGAAATCATGCAAGGATTTACTTGTATGAAATGAAATGTAAAGCTTGATAGTTTCCCACAATTAGGCTACTTATGTAAGTATGCCAAGAGATATTTTAATATCAAGATGTTATTCTTTTTCTTTGGATAATAACATCTCTCCCCTTATCATCTTTATATT